ATAGAGTGCTCAATGATCTTAAAAAACATATAAGTTATATTTTATAACTGTGTATTAGTATGTGTTATAACACATACTAATACTAATGTGTGTGTGTTTACACACACACATTAGTAGTTATAAAATATAACTGCTATGTTCTTTAACACATTATGTAATGTGTGTGTGTCATGTTTTATAACTGTGTGTAACACACAGTTATAAAACATAACTGCTATGTTCTTTAACACACAAACACACACACAAATATATATATATATATATATATATATATATATATATATATATATATATATATATATATATATATATATATATATATATATATATATATATATATATAGTGTTTTAATATTGATATTGTTCATTTAGGTCTTTACTGATTTACAAGAAGGTCTGTTGGAACAATATGTGACTAAAGCTTCTGATATTTATTATGGACTTTCTCCTAAGGAAGTGAGGAAACTAACTTATCAGTATTGAAAAGCGAACAGCATAAAAATGCCTCATAATTGGACTGCAAATGAAACAGCTGGAGAAGACTGGTCAATAAGAAAACCTGAGGCAACAAGTTAAACACGTGTTTCCAGTTTTAATCAACAAATGTTCAAAAGTTTTACAAAAATTTACAAACTATTCTTAACCGTTTTAAGTTGGAAAGTGGAGATATTTGGAATATGGATGAAACTGGTATTACCACAGTTCAAACTCCAGATCATATTGTAGCAAGAAAGGGTTTTAAACAAATTGAGCGTGTTACTTCGGCTGAGAGAGCCAATTTAGTAACTGTGGCAGTTGCTGTTTCTGCCAGTGGAAATTCAATTCCTCCATTTTTCATATTTCCTCGTGTGAAATTTAAAAGCTATTTTTTAAATGGTGCTCCTGATGGAAGTGCAGGCGCTGCAAACCCATCTGGTTGGATGACTGAAGTTCAATTTTTGCAGTTTTCCCATCATTTTGTCAAATATGCCAGAAGTACAAAAGAACAACCTGTTTTGTTGCTATTAGACAATCATGACTCTCATCTTTCAGTAGAGGCTTTAGATTACTTTAAAGAAAATGGGGTATCGGTTTGTTCATTTCCTTTTCATTGCAGCCATAAACTTCAACCTCTAGATCGAAGTGTATTTGGACCTTTTAATAAATACACAAACACAGCTTGCGATGCATGGATGACAATGCGCCCTGGTTCCACAATGTCTATTTAGAGTATACCAGGTATTGTGGGTAACTCATTTCCATTAGCATGTACCCCTAATAATATCAAGGCTGGTTTTGCAAAAACAGGAATTTACCCACTAAATGTTAACATTTTTGGTGAACACGATTTTATGCCACCCTATACCACAGATAGACCACCTCCAAAATAAAACTGTGCTGTGGAAAGTACAGCGTTAAATATAAGTAATGTAACGGATGTTGACTTTACAATATCTGAGAATGACATGTTAAATGCTGGTTGCTCAAAAGATATAGAACCACATCAAGATATTTCATATTCAAGCAGTAATGATGTACACAGTACATCTACAGAGTCAACTGTAATTCTATCGCCTGAAGATTTAAGACCATTCAAAAAAGCTGAACCAAGAAATAGAGTTAGGGCTAATAAAAGAAGTAGAACCATATCAATTTTAACAGATTCACCAAATATGAATGTTTTAAAAATAGAGAAAGAATCAGCTAAAAAGAAAAAGTTAGCGATTGAAGAGAGAAAACAAGCAAAAAAGTTAAATGAAGATAATATTAAGATGAGTAAAAGATCAAATAGTAAA